GCTCTATAGCCCGAAAAAACCCACAAGAACCTAGTGATTCCAGCCATGAAAGCCTTCGACAATACATTTCCCTTTCCTTCAATTGCTCTCTGTTGAATCAGTGTCCAGGGGGAAATAATAATAATAATAATAATAATAATAATAATAATAATAATAATAATATTGATACAAAAGCACAGTATGTCACAGCAAACAAGATCTATATGCTGGATTTCATTATTATTATTATTATTATTATTATAGATTATCATAATATATTATTATTATATTATTATATTACAATTATTATTATTATTATTATTGATTATTAGATTAGATTATTAAAATATATTATCACAATATATTATTATATTGTTATATTACTATTATTATAGATTATTAGATTAGATTATTATAATAGACTGCCATCATATATTATTACTATATTGTTAGATTATTTTGTTAGATTATTACAATAGATTAACATAATATATTATTATATTGTTATATGTCTATTAATATAGATTTTTATATTAGATTATTATAATAGACTACCATCATATATTATTACTATATTGCTATATTACTATTATTATAGATTAGTATATCAGATTATTATATTAGATTATCACAATATATTATTACTATATTATTATATTACTATTATTATTATTGATCATTAGATTAGATTATTAGAATATATTATCACAATATATTATTACTAAATTTTTATATTACTATTATTAGAGATTATTAGATTATTATAATAGATTAACATAATATATTATTACCATATTGTTATATTACTATTATTAGAGATTATTATAATAGATTAGCATAATATATTATTATATTATTATTATTATTATTATTATTATTGATCATTAGATTAGATTATTAGAATATATTATCACAATATATTATTACTATATTGTTATATTACTATTATTAGAGATTATTAGATTATTATAATAGATTACCATAATATATTATTACTATATTATTATATTACCATTATTGTTATTATTATAGATTATTAGATTAGATTATTATAAGACTGCCATCATATTATTACTATATTGTTATATTGCTATTATTATAGATTATTTTTTTAGATTATTATAGTAGATTAACATAATATATTATTATAAAATTGTTACATGACTATTAATATAGATTGTTATATTAGATTATTATAATAGATTAAAATAATATATTATTACTATATTGTTATATGACTATTATTATATTGGATTATTATAATAGATTAACACAATATATTGTTATTATATTGTTATATTATTACTAATATTATTATTATTTGTATGTATACAAAGGGATCTTGTTGCACCTTAGAGAAAGTAATGAGTATGTTTCCATAGACTTTGGATGCATCTACACAGACTTAATAGACTTAATGCAGTTTGACACTACTTGAACTTCCACGGCTCAATGCTATGGAGCCCTGGGAGTTGTAGTTTTGCAAGCTCTGCCTAAGACTGTTGGTGCAGATCCACTCCAGAAGGGCTACTAGAAGTATAAAAACGTATAATTACAGTAGCCTCACCTTTGCAGTAATAACCTTTTTGCTCCTTCTGTAGGATGCTGCAACGTGCCCGTCCGCTCCTCCATCTGCCAAAGGGAATCTTCCAATGCAATCCTCAGCAACTGAGCACCAAGAAAAGCAACAGCAGGCAAAAAAGAAAGCCAAATCCGTCATCACCTCCTCGCCTGGTTTGGCGAGCAATGGCCAGGTAAGACCCCAGGTTGCAACCTGAGTATAGGATGGCTGACACCTGGCTTGAAAGCAGCACGCATGAAAGGGACTCAAGGGTTTTAGTAGAGCCCAAGCTGAACGTGAGTTAAGAGTGTGGTGCAGCAACTAAAAAGGCCAATGTGGTTCTAGACTGCATCAGCAAGAGTATAGTGTCTGGATTGAGGGAAGTCATAGTCCCACTCGCTTCACTTTTGGCCAAACCTCACCTGGAATAATAACCCTGTGTCCAGTTTTTGGAGGATGGTCCAGAGAGTGCTGCGATTCACGGTGTCGAATGCCTTTGCAAGGTCAATGAATGCCATGTACAGAGGTTGATTTGGTTCCCTGCCTTTTTCTTGGAGCTGTCGTGCAGTGAAGATCATGTCCACGGTTCCTCTGGAGGGGCGGAAGCCGTTCTGGGATTCTGGGAGGGTGTCTTCTGAGAGGGGCAGAAGGCGGTTTGCAAGGATTCTTGCGAGGATTTTCCCAGCGGAGGTTGTAAATGCACCTCGACCACCCCTTGAGGAGCGCCCAGGGACGGCTCGTCCATTACGCAAAGTAAGCGGTCGCAGAACACTTTTTTTTTTGCCAGGGGCGCAGAGGTGCCTCTGTAAATGCCCCTCGACCGCCACTTGAGGAGCGCCCCCTCAGCTCACAACAGCCCTAGCAGTCTGGGGGGAGCCTCGGCTTTCTTGCCTCACTGCCGGGCGATCCTCTTCCCAAAGGGGCCGGGCCCTTGAGCCTCGCCTAGCCCCTCTCGTTCCTGCTCCACCCGGCCACCGGGTGCGCGAGCAGAGCCGGCGCTCAATCGTTCTCCGCGTTAGATCCCTTCCCCATGACCGGCTCCCTTTCCTGATCCCCTGGCGCTCCACCCGCCTCCTCTCCTCTCCCCAATCCGTGGGTGGGCCAAGGGGCGGAGGCGCCGTGCCTGCTTCGGGTTCGGAGGCGTGTCTGAAGACCCCAGCGTGCGCACCAAAAGTCGCCTCTTCTCCTGACTTTCTCTTCAGCCATTGGGACCAAGAGAGAGAGAGAGAGAGAGAGAGAGCCCCTCCGGCTGGAGGTATCTCCCACCTCCGCTCCCTCCTTTGTTTTTGCGCCTACCTTCAGGAAAGGTGGGCATCTCCACCTCTCTCTCTCTCTCTCTCTCTCTTGGTCCCAATGGCTGAGGAGAAAGTCAGGAGAAGAGGTGACTTTTGGTGCACACGCCGGGGTCTTCAGGCACGCCTCCGGACCCAAAGCGGGCCAGGCAAGGGAGCAAGTGCGGCAAGTGTAGTTACTGGGATGTATAGTTCACCTACAATCAAAGATCATTCTGAACTCCACCAATGATGGAATTGAACCAAATATGGCACACAGAACTCCCACGACGAACAGAAAATATATATGGGTTGGGTGGGGGGCCAAAATACTGTTTGCTTACGTTGAGGGTGTCTTCTGAGAGGGGCAGAAGGCGGTTTGCAAGGATTCTTGCGAGGATTTTCCCAGAGGAGGTTAGAAGGGAGATACCTCGATAGTTTCCCGCAGTCTGTTCTTTCCCCTTTTTTGAAGAGGGTGATGATGGTGGCATCCTGGAAATCTGCTGGGATTTTCTCGGTCACCCACACTTTTTCTATGAGCTGGTGGAGTTGTTGTGTCAGCTCAGGTCCTCCCTCTTTAAAGATTTCAGCAGGGATCCCATCCGGTCCGCTGGCTTTGTTATTTTTTTGTTGGCTGATGGCATTGCTGACTTCTTCCAAACTAGGCAGTGCGGCAAGCTCATCCCTGGTTTGTTGTTGCGGTATTTGTGAGAGGACCTCTTCGGCCACATTGGAGCTGCAACTCAGGAGGCTTTGGTAGTGTTCTTTCCAACGTAGTGCAATTGATTTTTTGTCCTTCAGAAGTTTGGTTACATCCGATGAGCGGAGAGGCTGTATGCCATGCTTTCTTGGTTCATAGATGACCTTTGTGGCTTTGAAAAATCCCTGAACATCATGGGTATCTGCCAGGTGTTGGATTTCTTCAGCCTTCTTTGTCCACCAGATGTTCTTGAGTTCTCTTGTCCTTTGGATCTCAACTTTTGTGCTGGCGTAGATCTTTTTCTTAACAGCACAGTTGATGTCTCTCTGCCATGTTTTGAAGGCTTTCCTTTTCTTGTTAATTAGCTGTTGGATCTCATTGTCATACATAATAATATGTAATGTATCCATAGTAGTAGTAGTAGTAATTTGTATCAATAATAATAATAATAATAATAATAATAATAATAATAATGCGTATCCATAATAGTAGAAATAATAATAATAATTTGTATCGTTAACAATAATAATAATAATGTGTATCCATAGTAGTAGTAATGATGATATGCATTAATAATAATAATATGTATCCATTAGCAGTAGTAGTAATTTGTATCAGTAATAATAATAATAATAATAATAATAATAATAATAATGTTTATCCATAGTAGTAGTAATAATAATAATTTGTTTCTGTAACAACAACAGTAATAATGTGTATCCATACTACTAGTAGTAATGATAATATGTATCCATAATAATAATAATAATAATAATAATAATAATAATGTGTATCCATACTACTAGTAGTAATAATAATAATAATTTGTATCAATAATAATAATAATGTGTATCCATAGTAGTAGTAGTAGTAATAATTTGTATCTGTAACAACAACAATAATAATAATGTATATCCATAGTAGTAATAGTAGTAATGATAATATGTATCCATAATAATAATAATATATATCCATTAGTAGTGGTAGTAATTTGTTTCAATAATAATAACAATAACATGTATCCATAGTAGTAATAATAATAATAATAATAATAATAATTTGTATCTGTAACAACAACAACAATAATATGTATCCATAATAATAATATGTATCCATTAATAGTAGTAGTTATTTGTATCAATAATAATAATAATAATGTGTATCCATAGTAATAGTAGTAATGATAATATGTATCCATAATAATAATAATAATATGTATCCATTAGTAGTAGTAATTTATATCAATAATAATAATAATAATAATAATAATGTGTATGCATAGTAGTAGTAGTAATGATAATATGTATCCATAATATTAATAATATGTATCCATTAGTAGTAGTTATTTGTATCAATAATAATAGTAATAATAATCAATAATAATAATAATATGTATCAATAAAAGCTTGTATTTGTAATAATAATAATAATGTGTATATATAATAATAATAATAATAATAATAATAATAATAATAATAATAATAATAATAATTTTTCTGGATTTTAACTGTGATTTTAAAAATATAATTGATATTTAATTCTCTTTTAATGTTTGCATCGTTGCAGATTTTGAAGTGGATTGAAATGCTTTTGATCTCAGCGTTTGTGGAGGGGATGATGATGATGATGATGATGATGATGATGATTTGGACCCTCTTTTCCCCACCCATCCATTTCACAACATGCAAAGCGGGGACTCAGGCCGTGGTGTCCTCAGTGCCTGGCTGTCTCCCTCGCTGTGCCGTGAAGCAGCATTTCGGATGGAGATGGGAAGAGACTAATGTCTAATTTCCCTTCTTTTTGTGCATCTGTTCCCAGATCTCCAGGGAGAAATTGCCCGGTGCCCGGCCTGCGGAAATCGCCATCGCCGTAGAAAAGGGGTAAGAGCCCATGCCTTCAATATTTCTCCCATGAAATGGATAAGACACCATTGATACACAACAAGATGAGTACACAACAAACAAGGTCACTCTGCTGGCTTGTTCTAATAGTTTCACAAACCCCGATGACGTCTAGACATTTGATGATCCAACAATGTGGAAGTGAGACTCTGCTGGCTGTTGTATTGGATCACACGTCGGACACTTCCCACGTGTCTAGGGCTGTGTGATGTGTCGGCAAATAATGCGTGCAGATCCCAGTAAGGTGGCCTTTTGTAGCAAAGGTCATCTAGTCCAACCCCATTTTTCTATGCAGGAAGACACAATCAAAGCCCTCCCGACAGATGGCCATCCAGCCTCTGCTTTAAAACCTCTGGAGAAGGAAACACATCTCCAAGTAGTTTATATTTCACTAGAGTTAGAAGGGATCCCCAAAGGCTATCTAGTCCAACCCCTTTCTTTCCGTGTAGGAAGATACAATACAATCCCACTTCACAGATGGCCATCCAGGCTCTGCTTTAAAAAACCCTCTGAGAAAGAGACTCCACTTCCCCAGGTATATTTTCTGTCATTCAAACCCTTCCTGACAGATGGCCATCCAACCTCTTCTTAAAAGCCTTCCGAGAAAGAGACTCAATCAAATAATAATAATAATAATAATAATAATAATAATTATTATTATTATTATTATTATTTCAGGAAATCTATATTCTGTTAAGATTGGGATCTCCAAAGGACATCCAGTCTAACACCTTCTGCCAGGCAGGAAGACACACTCCAATCTCTCCTGACAGATGGCCATCCAGCCTCAGTTGAGTCATAGAATCCTAAGGTTGGAAGGGATCCCCCCAAAGGCTATCCAGTCCAACTCTATCCTGCTGTGCGAGACACCATCAAACCCTTCCCGGCAGATGGCCATCCAAACCTCTGCATCAAAACCTTCATAAATGGGAGTCCAACCCTTTTCCGTCATGCGAGACACCACCAAACCTTTCTTGGCAGATGACCATCCAAACATCTGCATCAGAACTTTCATAAATGGGAGTCCAACCCTTTTCAGCCATGCGAGACACCACCAAACCCTTCTCGACAGATGACCATCCAAAATTGTGCATCAAAACCTTCATAAAGGTGAGTCCAACCCTTTTCCGCCATCCGAGACACCACCAAGCCCTTCCTGACAGATGGCAATCCAAAATTGTGCATCAAAACCTTCATAAAGGGGAGTCCAACCCTTTTCTGCCATGCGAGACACCACCAAACCTCTCCCGACAGATGGCCATCCAAACCTCTGCATCAAAACCTTTATAAAGGGGAGTCCAACCCTTTTCCACCATGTGAGACACCACCAAACCCTTCCCGGCAGATGGCCATCCAAAATTGTGCCCCAAAACCTTCATAAATGGGAGTCCAACCCTTTTCCGTCTTGCAAGACACCCTCAAACCTTTCCCGACAGGTGGCCATCCATAGCTCTGCATCAAAACCTTCATAAAGGGGAATCCAACCCTTTTCCGCCGTGTTGGACACCACCAAACCCTTCCCGACAGATGGCCATCCAAAACTGTGCACCAAAACCTTCATAAATGGGAGTCCAACCCTTTTCCACCACACAAGACACCACCAAACCCTTCCTGGCAGATGGCCTTCCAAAATTGTGCATCAAAACCTTCATAAAAGGGAGTCCAACCCTTTTCTGCCATGCGAAACACCACCAAACCCTTCCTGACAGATGGCCATCCAAAATTGTGCATCAAAACCTTCATAAAGGGGAGCCCAACCCTTTTCTGCCATGCGAGACACCACCAAACCCTTCCCGACAGATGGCCATCCAAAATTGTGCATCAAAACCTTCATAAAGGGGAGTCCAACCCTTTTCCGCCATGTGAGACACCATGAAACCTTTTCTGATAGATGGCCATCCAAAATTGTGCCCCAAAACCTTCATAAATGGGAGTCCAACCCTTTTCCGCCACGTGAGACACCACAAAACTCTTCCTGATAGATGGCCATCCAAATTGTGCCCCAAAACCTTCATAAAGGGAAGTCCAACCCTTTTCCACTATGCGAGACACCATCAAACCCTTCACAGCAGATGGCCATCCAAACCTCTGCATCAAAACCTTCATAAATGGGAGTCCAACCCTTTTCCGCCATGCGAGACACCACCAAATCCTTCTCGACAGATGACCATCCAAAATTGTGCCCCAAAACCTTCATAAATGGGAGTCCAACCCTTTTCTGCCATGCAAGACACCCCCAAACCCTTCCTGACAGATGGCCATCCAAAATTGTGCACCAAAACCTTTTGTAGATCATTTTCTCTTCCGTCTTTTGCAATGCTAGACTAGTCAAGCGTCTGCAAAGACTGGTCGAAAGGCACGAACATGGGAAAGGATGCAAATGCAAGGTTTGCCTTGACAGATCGGGCTGTTTGTTGGGAGGAAGGGTTTTCGTTTCCAGGGCGGCATCTCCTGCTCAGCAAACCGGCGAAGCGTAAAAGGCCAGAAGATGATGGAGGAGACAGAAGGAGAGGGCGGCCGAGGGTCAGGAGATGCCCAGAGCGGGCAGGAAGGAAATAAGCCAAATGCAATTGGTTCAGACGTTTGGTGCAAACATGGGCCTCTGATCCATATCCTTTGTGTTGCAAAAACACTGATATTTCCAGGTGCTTCTAGACCACTTTGGCCCTCCAGGTGTTTTGGACTGCAACTCCCACAATTCCTAACAGCCGGTAGGCTGTTAGGAATTGTGGGAGTTGTAGTCCAAAACACCTGGAGGGCCCAAGTTTGCACACTGTACATTTAATGCAGTTTGGCATCACTTTAATGCTATGGAATCGTGGGAGTTGTAGTTTTGCAAGGTCTGTAGCTGCATCGTTGGTACCACTGAAATGCTATGGAATCCCAGGAGTTGTAGTTTTGCAAGGTCTGTGGCTGCATCGTAGGCACCACTTTAATGCTATGGAATCCCGGGAATTGTAGTTTTGCAGGGTCGGTGGATGCATCATTGGCACCATTTTAATGTTATGGAATCCCGGGAGTTGTAGTTTTGTATGGTCTGTGGCAGCATCATTGGCACTGATTTAATTCTATGGCATCCTGGGAGTTGTAGTTTTGCAAGGCCGGTGAATGCATCGTTGGCACCATTTTAATACTATGGAATCCTGGGAGTTGTAGTTTTTTAGGGTCTATAGCTGCATCATTGGCATCACTTTAATGCTACGGAATCCCGGGAGTTGTAGTTTTGCAGGGTCTGTGGCTGCATTGTTGGCACCACTTTAATGTTATGGAATCCTGGGAATTGTAGCTTTTCAAGGTCTGGGAATGAAGCTTTGTCACCACTTTAGCGCCATGGGATCTTGGGAATTGTAGTTTGGCAAGGTCTGTGAATGCGTCTACACTGTAGAATTGATGCGGTTTGACACCACATTAATGCTATGAAATCCTGGAAGCTGTAGTTTTGCAAGGTCTGTGGCTGCATTGTTGGCACCACTTTAATACTATGGAATCCTGGGAATTGTAGCTTTGCAAGGTCTGTGAATGCATCTACATTGCAGGATTAATGTAGAATTAATGCTACGGAATCCCGAGAGTTGCAGTTTTGCAAGGTCTTGAGCTACCTCTGCCAAAGAGTGCAGAATCCCACCGCACTGAGCCGTAGAACTTCAAGTGGTAGTAATGTGGATTAATTCTATAGTGTAGACGCACCTTTTGCTGGCCAAGGCAACATGCGAGGTAACTTCTCCATCTGTACTGAATGCGACTCATCCCAGAGGGAAAATGCAATGCTACACTGGGATTAAATGCTAATTTTCTGATGGATTTTCGAGAAATCCGAGATTTAAGAAAGGGATTGAGGATGAATGGATACATATACAAAAGAGACCAAGCTAAAAATAAACCGGCTAAATTGCCTTTTATTGCATCTTGTCAGAGCTGTTAATGTATTTGTGCCGCTTGCATTCTCTTTATAACAAGTTTAGAAGGTTCGGGGAGCTTTAGTCCTCCGAAAAAGCCCATTATTACCATGTTCTGACTCGCAGCAATTCTTGTTCGGTGCTTTCAAGTCATTTCTGATTTATGAAGACCCAAATTTGAATTTTTCACATAGTTTTCTTAGTTTTTTTCCCTTGCCGTTGTGTGGGAAGTTTGGCCCAATTCCATCATTGTTGGAGTTCAGAATGCTCTGATTGTGGGTGAACTATAAATCCCAGCAACTACAACTCCCAAATGTCAAGGTGTATTTTCCCCAAACTCCATTGGTGTTCACATTTGGACATATTGAATATTTGTGCCAAGTTTGGTCCAGATCCATCATTGTTTGAGTCCACAGTACTTTCTGGATGTAGGTGAACTACAACTCCCAAACTCAAGGTCAATGCCTATCAAACCCTCCCAGTCTTTTCTGTTGGTCATGGGAGTTCTGTGTGCCAAGTTTGGTTCAATTCCATAGTTGGCGGAGTTCAGAATGGTCTTTGATTGTAGGCGAACTATAAATCCCAGCAACTACAACTCCCAAATGTCAAGGTCTATTTCCCCCCAAACTCCACAGTGTTCACATTTGGACATATTGCATATCCATGCCAAGTTTCGTCCAGAACCATCATTGCTTGAGTCCACAGTGCTCTCTGGATGTAGGAGAACTACAACTCCCAAACTCAAGGTCAATGCCCACCAAACCCTTCCAGTATTTTCCGTTCGTCATTGGAGTCCTGTGTGCCAAGTTTGATTCAATTCCATCGTTGGTGGAGTTCAGAATGCTCTTTGATTGTAGGTGAACTATAAATCCCAGCAACTACAACTCCCAAATGACAAAATTATTTCCCCCCAAATTCCACCAGTGTTCACATTTGGGCATATTGAGTATTTGTGCCAGGTTTGGTCCAGATCCATCATTGTTTGAGTCCACAGTGCTCTCCGGATGTAGGTGAACTACAACTCCCAAACTCAAGGTCAATGCCCACCAAACCCTTCCAGTATTTTCCGTTGGTCATGGGAGTTCTGTGTGCCATGTTTGGTTCAATTTCATTGTTGGTGGGGTTCAGAATGCCCTTTGATTGTAGGTGAACTATAAATCCCAGCAACTACAACTCCCAAATGCCAAGGTCTATCTTTCATTTGTTTCTACGCTCTCGTTCCAGGTACAACCCAGGGCCTTGTGTGGACTTCTCCATCATCCAGTCTCCAAAAACCATTCCCATTTGGAACAAAGCAAAGATGTTGTTGTTGTTGTTCTTCTCGTTCGTGTTGCTTCTCTTCTTCTTCGCTGGCCCTTCTTCGTTCCCTTTCTCCAAAACCTCGTGTCTGCAAGAGAACAGCTTTGCAAAATCATTCCACGTCATGCTGAAATACACCGGACCGCCACCCATTTAAGCACAGGCCAACTTGGGCCCTCCAGGTGTTTTGGACTACAACTCCCACAATTCCTAACAGCCGGTAGGCTGTTAGGAATTGTGGGAGTTGTAGTCCAAAACACCTGGAGGGCCCAAGTTGGCCCGTGCTTGCATTATCCTCACTGCTATGTATATATTTGGCATCTAAGATTTCTAATAAACGGAAGAGAATAAGGTGATGTTGGTTCCTTCCTTTGGCCATCCACGCAATATCATCCCCATTTCACACCTACGAGACCCTTGGAAACTACAATCTCCATCCCAAATTGCTTCCTGCCCATTGGGCCACCGTATGTTGCAATATGGGAGCAAAGGGGTGCTCCTTTGCAACCCCAAATCCAGGCTTAACTCAATCCCTCCATCGCTCGATAACGTGCTTCTTGCAGAAGGAAGGAAATCCGGAAAGATGCGTGCAGTTTCCAAAAAGCGGTAAAGAGGAGCTTGCGTTTCCTTCCTTGCTTGCTTTCCTCCTTCCTTCCTTCCTTCCTTCCTTCCATCCATCCATCCATCCATCCATCCATCCATCCATCCATCCATCCTTCTCTTTCTTCCCTCCTTCCCTCCCTCGTTTCTCTTTCTTTTTTCCTTCCTTCCTTCTTTGTTTTCTTCCTTCCTTCTTTTATCCTTCATTTCATCCCTCGCTATCTTCCTTCCCCCTCCCTCTTTTCTCTTTCTTTTTCTTTCCTTCCTTCTTTCTTTTTCCTTCCTTTCATCCTCTTTCTTCTTCTTCCTCTCCTCCTCTTCTTCTTCTTTTTTCTTTTTTTTCTTCCTTCTTTCTTTTTTCTCCTTTCTCCCTCCTTTCTTCTTCCCCCCTCCCTTTTCTTCCTTCCTTCCTTCCTTCCCTTCCTTCCTTCCTTCCTTCCTTCTTTCCTTTTCTTCTTCCTTCCTTCCTTCCTTCCTTCTTTTTTCCTTCCTTTTCCCTCCTTCCCCCCTCCTTCCTTCCTCTCTTTTCTCTTTTTCCTTCCTTCTTCTTTTTTTCTTCCTTCTCCTTCCTTTCTTTTCTCCTTCCTTTCATCCTCTCTTTCTCTCCTTTCTCCTCCTCATTCTTTCTTTTTCTTTCCTTCTTTTTCTTCTTCTTTGTTCCTTCCTTTCTCCTTCTCTTCTCTTTCTCCTTCTTTCTCCTTCCTTCCTTCCTTCCTTCCTTCCTTCCTTCCTTCCTTTTTTTCTTCCTTTCGTCCCTCTTTCATCCTTTCCTCCCTCCCTCATTTCTTTCTTTTTCTTCCTTCCTTCTTTCTGTCTTTCTTTTTTCCTTCCTTTCCTCCCTCCCTCATTTCTCTTTCTTTTTCTTTCCTTCCTTCCTTTTTTCCTTCCTTTCATTCCTTTCTTTCTTCCTTTCTTCCTTTCTTCCCTCCCTCATTTTTTATTTTTCTTTTCTTCCCTTCCTTTCATCCTTTCCTTCTTCCTTCCTTCCTCCTTTCTTTTTTCCTTCTTCTTTTCTTCCACCGTTCTTTCCTTTCATCTTTCTTTTGTCCATCCATCCTTTCATCCTACCTTCTTTCTCGCTTCCTTTCTTCTTTTTTTTCTCCTTTTTCCTTTTCTTTTTTTTCTTTCTTTCCTTCCTTCTTTTTCTCCTTCCCTCCTTTCTTTCATCTTCCTGCCATCTCTCTTCCATCCTTCCTACTTTTCCCTTCCTTTCTTCCTTCTTCCTTTCATCCTTGTTTTTCTTCCTTCTTTCCTTCATCCTTCCATCCATCCATCCTTTTCCCTTCTTTTCCATTCCCTCCTTCCTTTCATTCTTCCTTCTTCCCTCCTTTCATCCTTCCCTCCCTCTTTCTCCTTCCCTACAACCCTTCTGTCCTTCCTTCCTTCCTTCCTTCCTTCCTTCCTTCCTTCCTTCCTTCCTTCCCTCCCTCTTTCTCCCTCCCTCCATCCTTCCTTTTTTCCTCTTTCTCCTTCCTTTCTTTCTTCTTTCCCTTTTGTCTTTCCTTCATTATCTCTCCCCTTTATCCTTCCCTTCCTTCATCCTTCCCTCCCTTCTATCCTTCTCTTTCTTTCCTTTTATCCTTTCTTTCATCAATCCTTTCATCCTACCTTCTTTTTGGCTTCCTTTCACCCTTTTCATCCTTCCTTCCTTCTTTCCTTCCTTTCATCTTCCCTTTCATTTTTCCTTCTTTCCTTCCTCTCTTCCTTTTTTCCCTCTTTCCTCCTCCATCTCTCCCTCTCTCCTCTTCCTTTCTCCTTCCTTCTTCTTCTTCCTCCTCTTCTCTTCCTTCCCTTCTCTTTCTTTCCTTTTATCCTTTCTTTCATCAATCCTTTTATCCTACCTTCTTTTTGGCTTCCTTTCACCCTTCCTTCCTTCCTTCCTTCCTTCCTTCCTTCCTTCCTTCCCTTCTTCCTTCCTTCCTTCCCTTCCCTTCCTCTTTCCTTCCTTTCTTCCATTTTCTCTTCCTTCTTTCTCCTCCTCTTCCTTCCCTCCCTCTCCTTTCCTCCTTTTTCCTCCCTCCTTCCCCCCTCCCTTCTTTCCCTTCCCTTTCATTCTTCCTTCTTTCCTTCCTTTCTTCTCTTTCTCTTCCTTCTTCCCCTTCTTCCTCCCTCCCTCCCTCCTCCCTCTCTTCTTCCTTCCTTCCTTCCTTCCTTCCTCCTTCCTTCCTTCCTTCCTCCATCCATCCATCCATCCATCCATCTTTCTTCTCCTTTCATTCTTCCTTTATTCTTTCACTCTTCCTTTTTCCCTTCCTTCTCTTTCCTTCTCTTCCCTTTCTTCCTCTTCCTTCTCCTCCATCTTCCCCTTCTCCTCTTCTTTCTTTCCTTCCTTCCCTTCCTTTTGTGCTTTTCCTGCATGGTAGAATAGGAGTTGGACTAGATGGCCCTTGGGGTTCTCTCCCAACTCTATGATGCTACGATTCCCTTCCTTCCCTTCCTTCCTTCCCCTCTTTCCTCCAGCATCCTCGCCCTTTCCTGTCCACACTCCTCCTTCCTTTCTGCACAACTGCATCCCTGCCCCTCCAGCAGCAGGGTTGCCATGGCAACTCACAGGCAGGGATGGGAGGGGCGGCTCCATCATCATCATCATCATCATCTTCTTCATCATCATCATCTCCAGGGAAAGTCTCCCAGGCTCTCCAGTGGATGAAAGAGGAGAAGGAGGAGGAGGAGGACCAGGGATGGAGCTCCCTCCGGGTACATCAGGTAAGAAGGAAGGCAGGATGGCCTGGAAGGAATGGCTGCGGGAGGCAGGGATGCTGAGCTTGGAAGAGAGAAAGGGACAAGAGAGCCATGTTTAGAGATCTGCAAGGGATGTGCCATTGAGGAAGGAGACAGCCTGCTCTTTGCTATAGAAAATCATGATAGGAGAAGCATTTCTACTACTATTCTTCTTCTTCTACTACTACTATTGTTATTATCATCATTACCATCATCCCTTTTTTACTCTTTTCATTCCTCTCCTCCTTTTCCGCTTTCTTCTCCTTTTTCCACCTCCTTCCTAATTCTTCTTAGTCATTCTCTTCCTCCTCTTTCCTTCATTTTTCTTCCTTTTCTTCATCCTCTTCTTCTTTCTTCTCTTTTCTCCCCCACTTCATCTTTCTTCTCCTCCTTCTTTCATTTTCTCTTGCTTCTTCTTTTTCTCCTTCATTGTTTTTCTTCCATTTCTTCTTCTTCTCTTTCTTTTCCTTTGTTCTTCATTTTTCCTCATTTTCTTCCTCTGCTTCTATCTTCTTCCGCCTCCACCTCATCTTTCTTATTCTTCTTCTTTCATTCCTCTTCCTCTTCTTCCACTCTTACTTTCTTCTTCCTCCCCTGCCTCATCTTTCTTATACTTCTTCATTCCTTTCCTCCTCTTCCTTTGTCATTATTTTTCTTCCGTCTTTTCATCTTCTCTTTTCTCCTCAACTTCTTCTTTCATCTCTTCTTCCTTCTTCTCCTTCTTTCTTCTTTCTTTGTCTTCCATCTCTTCTTTCTCCTCCTCCTTACTTCTTCTTCCTCCTTTTTCTTCACTCTTCTCCTCTTCTTCTCTTTCAGTTATTCTCGTTCCTTCTTTCTTTTTCTTTCATCTCTTCCTCTTCTTCCTTTTCTCCTCCTCCTCCTCCCTTCCTTCCTTTCCTTCCTTCCTTCCCATTCATCCTTCTAATTTCTCCTTCAGTCTTTTTGTTCTCTTTTTTCTTTCTTCCCCTTGTTTCCTTTGTTCTTATTTTTCCTCATTCTCTTTTTCCTTCTTTTTCTCCTTCCTTCCTTCTTTTTCTTCTCTTTCTTCTTCCTCCTCTACCTCATCTTCTTAATTTTTCCTTCCTCCTTCTTTCCTTCATTTTTTCTTGCTTTTCTCCTTTTTCTCCTTTCTTCTTTTTCCTGCTCCTCCTCCTCCTGTTCTTCCTCATTCTTTTCTTTGTTCTCTTTCTTTCTTTCTTTCTTTCTTTCTTTCTTTCTTTCTTCTTTTCTCCTTTTCCTCCTTTTTCTTTTGCTCCTCCCCCCACCGTGTACTTCATTCTTTTTCTTGTTTCTTTTTCTTCTCCTTCCTTCCTCTTTCCTTTCCTTTGTTCATCATTCATTTTCCTCATTCTTTTCCTCCTCTTCTTTCTTCTTCCATCTCTTCTTATTATTTCTTTCTTCTTCCTCCCCCACCTCTTTTTCTTTTTCCTCTTCCATCATTCCCTTTCCTCCTCCTCCTTTCTCCTTCATTCCTTCGTTTTCTCTTGCTTCTCCTCCTTCCTTTTCCTGCTTCTCCTCCTCTTTTTCCTTCTTCTCTTTCCTTCCTCTTTCTTTTCCTTTGTTCATTATTCCTTTTCCTCATTCTCTTCCTCCTCTTCTTTCTTCTTCTTTCTTTTTAGTCCATCTCTTCCTCTTTCTCCTCCGCCTCTTTTTCTTTTCCTTCTTCCTTTATTCTGTTTCCTCCTCCTCCTTTCTCTTTCTTTCCTTCATTTTCTCTTGCCCTTCCTCCTCCTCCTCCTCCTCCTTCCCCATCTGTCCTTCATTTTATCTTGCTCTTCTTCTTCCTTCTTCTTATTCTTCTCATTCCTTCTCCTCCTTCTTTTCTTCCTCCTCTTCTTTCTTCTTCATTCTTTTTCTTCAATCTCTTCCGCTTCTTTTCTTCATTTCTTCTTCCTCCTCTGCCTTTTTTCTTTTCCTTCTTCCTTCATTCCTTTCATCCTCCTTCTTCTTTCTCCTTTCCACTTCTCTCTCCTCTCCTTCTTTTCTTTCTCTTCTTCTTCTTCTTTCCTTCCTCCTCCTCCCCTCCTCCTCCTTC